TCATCATCATCAGCATCATCATCATCATCATAATCGTCATAATCATGATAATCACCATGGCCACCAGCATCATCACACATCATCATCATCATCAGCAGCATCAGCATCTGCATCATCATCAGCATCATCAACATCATCATCATCATCATCATCATCATCATCATCGGCATCATCATCATCATCAGCATCAGCATCATCATCATCATCATCATCTTCATCATTAGCATCATCATCACCACCAACATCAGCATCAGCATCAGTATCAGCATCATCATCATCATCATCATCATCATCAAAATATTCAGCCTCATCATCAGAATCATCAACACCAGCATCAGCAGCATCATCACCACCATCATCATCAGCAGCAGCAGCATCGTCACCATCACCATGTTGTCAGCATCATAAACACCATCATCATCATCGTCGGTATCCTCACCATCATCGTCATCACCACCATGTGTCGTCTATCTACCATCTACCATCTACAATCTACCATCTACCACCATCATCAGCAGAAGCATCCACATCATCATGAGCATCACCACCACCACCACCACCATCATCATCATCATCATCAGCATCATCGTCATCATCATCATCACCATCATCGTCATCACCATCACCAACATCATCATTGTCATCATCATCATCAGCATCATCATCATCAGCCTCAACACCAGCATCATCACCATTATCATCAGCAGCAACAACATCGTCATCAGCACCACCACCCGCGTCATCAACAGCCTCACCATACTCCTCATCCTCATCCTCGGTATAATCATCATCATCACCATCATCATGATCATCCTCATCGCCGTCATCATCACCATCACAACCATCATCATCATCAGCAGCATCATCATTATCATCAGTATCCTCATCAACATCACCTTCATCATCATCACCATCATCATCCTGGTCGCCATCGTCATCAGCATCATCACTATCATCATCCGCAACCACTACTTCATCACCATGACAATGCCCCCATCTGGGGTCCTCGTCCTTCTCATCATGATCCTTCAAATGCATTATGTCCGTCCGCCTCATGCTCCTCAGGCCCACCCCCATCGATCCGCTATTTCGCAATGCTACATTGTCCTTGAAAGCTGAGCAGTTTGACAGCCGTGGTTGCCCAGGGTCCACTGATCGAACCGCCGAACTGCTCAGCTCCCCAGGGGTGATATCCCAGGCATCTGCGAACGAACGCGGCCACCCGCGTCCCGAAAGCATACCTTCGCCACGCCCGAACCACGTCCTCAGAACGTATGGGCGCTGGGGGAGGAGGATGAGGAGGAGGAGGAGGAGGAGGAGGAGGAGGAGGAGGAGGAGGAGGAGAAGGGGGGGCAACAAAAGACTCGCGCCCTCACGCCGTGCACGGTCGCATCACTGCGAAGGGCGAACGGCATCAAGAGCGCGAGGTGTCCTCGGAGTATTTGACCTGGACTTTCGGGGATGGACAGACCCCCCTTTAATAAAACGTGGTTTAGTGGAAACGACCTGAGGCCCAAACCTGGCGGGCGCAAGCCTGGAAAATAACGGCCACGGCGCCATCTCGAGAACCGAAAACGGACAATTCACTAATCGACGTGTCACTGTTGGGGGTTCTGTCCACCCCCGAGACTTCAACGCGTCGTAGCAACTCTCCGGATGCAGGGCGGCCCCATTTCAAAATTGGGCCCTACGCAGCTCTACGCTTGTTTGAAGTCCAAAGTCGCATATGTTTAAGTGTGTACACTGATGACGGGCTGCTTCGAGATAGGACCATCGCTGGACATGTCGAGAAAGTTGCCCTTGTCTCGTGGCACGTATGCATAAGCATAGTGGTGTACAGCTGCCCTTTTTTTCCGAAACGGGCCGCACGCCTGAATGGCATGCCCGTGGAGCGTTACCAATCCCAAGTGGGCGTTACCCGTAGTAGAGAGGAACACTTGTCGAGACGTAGACCCTGTGCCAGGGTAGGGTACTGCTCTGGTGATTGAGCAGCGCTGTGGTCGCATCTGGCTACGCTGCACAAATCCCTGCCAAACTGCAGGCGCATGTGATGCGCATGTCAGGGAACAGGAGACCAGCGTACATGGGGGTTCGTCCAAGACCACTCTAGGCCCGCCCCTTCGAGGAAGATGGGGGGCGCAGGCAAGAGAGGTCGCGCCCCGACGGCTGCAGCAGCAGCCGCGGGCACGGGGGTGGGCGCACCTTGCACCTCGAGCAGCTCCGCCGACGAAGCCGTCGGAGTGGAAGAAAGGCCAGCCGTTTTATAAGTCATTTCATTCTGAGGATGAGAGTGGGGAGCAGCAGCAGGGGAGGAGGAGGAGGAGGAGGAGGAGGAGGAGGAGGAGGAGGAGGAGGGGAGGAGGAGGGGGAGGAGGACTGTAAGACGACACGCTTCCACTAGGGCATTTGGGGTGGAAGCTCCCAGGGCGGTTGCCTCCTTCTGCGAACACAACAGCCTCCCTGGGCCCGACGGTCGGCAGCAGGCGTTGGCGTAGCTGCCTAGAGGAGGAGGAGGAGGAGGAGGGGGAGGAGGAGGTGGAGGAGGAGGAGGGGGGAGGAGGAGGAGGAGGAGGAGGAGGAGGAGAGGAGGAGGAGGAGGAGCAGGAGGATGAGGAGGACGCGGAGGACGAGGAGGCGAAGGAGGAGGAGGAGGACATGGAGCGTGATGTGCCGAGCCCGGGCTGCCAAGCGTGAGGCACAGCTGGCCTGGCCCTGCTGGAATCAGGACAATTGCGGTCGCGGTGAGCAGGCAGCACGCGACACCACGCGGCAAGACAGCCGCGGCGGTGTCGCCCCTCCCCCCTCCACTCCCAACCCGCATTCTCCACCCTCCGCTTCTGCTTCACATCCCTCTCTCCTGCTGTTCCTCCCCTCTTCTCTCGTCCTCCTGCTCCTTCTGCTGGCAGCCTCGGGCGTGAGGAAGTTGATGAACGCATATCCCAAGTTCGCGCGGAACTTCACGTCGCGGGGCAGGTAGAAGAAGTCGTACCTCGCTGGCGGGGGCGGAAGAGGAGCAGGAGGGGGTGAAGGCATAATTAGGGGGAGGGGGGGGGCGAATGAGGAAGAAAGGGGGACGGGCGAGGACAGGTGGGGAGGAGAGAGAAAGGAAAAGGAGGAGGGCGACGACGACAAGGCCACTGGCAAAGGACGTGAAAGAGAGCGCAAGGAAACGCGACGGGTTTAACGACGAGAGAGACCCAAAGCCGCACAGCGCCCCACCCAGCGCTGACCAACCTCCCCTCCCCCACGCACGACCAATCAGGATGGCTTACTATGTGCCACCAGGAGGGCGTGCGGAAATACGGAGAAGGGCGCAGTGTCTGAGCCTACAGAGAGCTCCCAAAGGACTCGCATAAATAGAGCACAGCCACAGACGCGACGGGGCATGCGGGCCAAACACACGGGCCCTCTCCAGAAACGGAAAACATCACAACAACAAAACACACTATATATACATATATATATATGTATATGTATATGTATATGTATATGTATATGTATATGTATATGTATATGTATGTGTGTATGTATACATACGTTGCTATGTATACACACATGTATGTATGTTATTGTTTCTATATGCACGCGGCGCTCGAGCCAGCGAGCCACGAGGAAGGCCGACACTGTCCAGGTGAAGCTAGGCAGGGCCGCACACCTGACCGGAGAGAAGAGCTGCAGGCGTGCGAGCCCCAAGAACGTGCACCACCACCGCCACGTGCATCCCCCCTCCCCTCCTCCAGCCTCTTCCCCTCCTCTTCCCTGGCAGGGGGGCGGGGTCGGGGAGGAGGTCGTGTTGGTGCACAGCTCGAGCCCCTGCAAAGCGCTCGAGCCCGAAGACCCACCGCGCTTCACGCGCAGGGCCCAGCCCTCATACACGGCCCAAGCCGCTCAGACGACGAGGCAATGCCCCGACTGGGACACCTGAGGCGGTCCACTTCTTATGTAGGAACAACTGTGGACGTTAGACCTCAATCTCAGCAGGGTAGAACAGGAGCAGCAAAGAAAGGTGCAGGACAGTGGCCGGGAAAAGGAGAACACCAACAAACATACAGAAGACGCAGCAGAATACAAAACTAAGCAGCTCCGCCTGCTGCGTAGGTCGGGACCCCGGAACTTCCTCGACGACCAGGCGCGTCACCCGGCCTGGGTCGGCACAGAGCCCGAGATGCAGGGGCCCAGGACTCGATAGCCGGCTGCTCGGGCTCAGGACGACGGCCCTGGCCAGGCACGACGATGGCGCTCGGTTTGGAGTATCGCGCGGGTGTGCCAACTTTCGTTTCCTTTCCATCTTGCTGGCTTGTGATATCCTCTGTCGTCTTGTGTGTGTGCTCATATGGCTTCATTTCCTTCTCGCCTTCGTGCCTCCATTCGCTCGCGATGCACCTCACCGCATGACTGGCGTTCGACTGCCTTGGACCACGTGGCATCCGCGGGTTTGAGAGTAAGGGTGTGCCAGCTGCTTTGCTGTGCTGCGCCCCTCCTTCGCACTCGTTTGCAATATGCTGAACACGTATGCGCCTGCTGCTTTCCTGCGCCGTCCAGACAGGGCTTCTAGGTTCTCATCAGACTAGCGCATTTGTGCGGGCACTGAGCCCAGCATCACTCCCGCAGGCCCCTGAAAGGAGGCCACTTGGCACGCATCCTTCGATTAGGCATAAAAGGACCCCCTAACCCTTTGGGGGGCGGCCTAAGTTGGGAGGGCCAGAGACATTAGGCACAGGGTGTCTATTTATGCAGATTGACCAGGCCGAACCTCCAGAGGCGGGGACCTCAGTGAGGCCCCGTCCTCACGATGTCAACAGGGTTACGGGGCTGCTTTATCCTCGACGTTTCAGGAGCCTCCTCTAGGGCTCCCAACTTCGCGCTTCGCGCTGCGCGAAGCGCGAAGCGCGAATAACTTCGCGCTCTCGCGCCGCCCTCCCAAAGGGAGAGTAGGAGGACGAGGAGGAGGGGGAGAAGGAACGAGGACCGCGAAGCGCGAAGCGCGAATAACTTCGCGCCCTCGAGGGAGCCCCTCCGCCCACCTTTTGGCGCGGCGTGGCCCGAGTGCGGCGCAGTGGCCCAGGGCGGACACCGCGCCGCTCCCAGCAGCCTCCGACGAGCAGCAGATTCCCAGCCTCGCAGCGGACAGTGTGGCAATGCCCCGAGGACCGAGATTGCACCCCCCCCGTCCGCCAGCGGCCACGCCGGAGTCCTCCTGGCTAGAAAAAACCCTCGGGTTGTAAAAAATCACACGACGGGAGGCTTCTCGTTATTCTCCGCCTCTGGGGGGCCTCACCGGGCCCTGGGAGCGTCAAACAATGCCTCCGGATGAAATGCCGGTCCTGGGGGTCGACGCTGTGAAGAAAAAATAAAACAAAAAAAACGTCGGGGATCTGGTCAGATGGGACCTGGGTAGATGGGGTCGGAAGAGCATCGGCGATGCGCCAGCGACGTCGGCGGTGCAACGGCGACGCTGGCGTGGAGAACACCGGACTCAACATCGAGCCGCATCGCCGATGCGTCGGCGACGCGGCGGGATCCTCCGCCCCCGTCTGACCCGGTGCAATCTGGGAGGCCCGCACAAGAGGAGGCAGCCTTGCGCCCCAGGGCCCGAAACTGCCCGCCGCTGCGCCGCCCGCAAGGGCAGCGACCACCATGTCCCGACTGGCGCTTCGCGAAGAGGCCCCTGAGAATACAACCAAAGGGCCACGGAAGAGTCCCACGGGGGGAACGGGGAACCCGCGCCCGCCCGGTGCCCGAAGCCGTGTCGCCTGAGACTTCCACACCACTTGTGCAGGCATCGTGCGTGCCCTCGCCTCAATGATTGGCTACATTTAGTGATCCTCCTCCTCCTCCTCCTCCTCCTCCTCCTCCTCCTCCTCCTCCTCCTCCTCCTCCTTCCTCCTCCTCCTCCTCCTCCTCCGCATCCTCCTCCTCCTCCTCCTCCTCCTCCTCCTCCTCCTCCTCCTCCTCATCCTCCTCCTCCTCCTCCTCCTCCTCCTCCTCCTCCTTCCCGCATCCTCCTCCTCCTCCTCCTCCTCCTCCTCCTCCTCCTCCTCCTCCTCCTCCTCCTCCTTCCTCCTCCTCCTCCTCCTCCTCCTCCTCTTCCTCCTTCCTCCTCCTCCTCTTCTTCTTATTATTATTCTTCTTATGATTCGTCTTCTTAGTATTCTTGTTATTATTCTTATTATTATTATTATTATTATTAATATTATTCTTATTCTTATTATTATTACTCGTATTCTTCTTATTATTATTATTCTTATTAGTACTATTATTATGATTATTCTTCTTATTAGTATTATTCTTAGTATTATTCTTATTATTATTCTTATTATTCTTATTCTTATTATTCTGCTTAGTATTATTATGATTATTATTCTTCTTATTATTCGTATTCTTCTTCTTATTATCATTCGTATTATTCTTATTATTCTTCTTAGTATTACTATTATTCTTCTTATTATTATTCTTCTGCTTAGTAGTATTATTCTTATTCGTCTTCTTATTCTTCTTCGTATTATTATTACTGTTATTATTATTATGTTTCTTAGTCTTCTTCATATTCGTCGTCTGCTTCTGCTTCTGATTCTGTTTCTGCTTATGCTTATGATTAGTCTTCTTATTATTACTATTCTTATTCTTATTATTATTATTCGGATTCTGCTTATTCCTTTTCTCATTCTTCGTATTATTATTCGTGTTCGTCTTCTTCTTCGTATTATTCTTCTTAGTATTCTTACTATTCGTCTTCTTATTCTTACTCGTATTATTCTTATTCTTATTATTCTTCTTATTCTTAGTCTGCTTCTTCTTATTCGTCTTCTTATTATTCTTCTTCGTCTTCCTCCTCCTCCTCCTCCTCCTCCTCCTCCTCCTCCTCCTCCTCCTCCTCCTCCGCCTCCGCCTCCGCCTCCGCCTCCTCCTCCTCCTCCTCACTCCCTCAGCTCCTCCTACCTCCTCCTCATCCTCCTCCTCCTCTCCTCCGCATCTCCTACTCCTCCCATCCTCCTCATCTCCTCCTCCTCCTCCTCCTTATCCTCTCCGCTCCTCCTCCTTCCTCCTCCACCTCCTCCTCCTCCTCTCCTCCTCCTCCTCCTCCTCTCCTCTCCTCCTCCTCATCCTCCTCCTCCGCCTCCGCCTCGCCTCCCGCCTCCGGCCGCCTCTCTCATCCTCCTCCCTCCTCCTCCTCCTCTCTCCTCCTCTCCTCCCTCCCTCCCCCACCTCCTCCCCCAACTCCTCCCCTCATCCTCCTCCTCTCATCTCTCCTCCTCCTCCCCTCTCCTCATTCTCGCTCCTCCTCTCATTACTCTTCCTCTCCTCCTCCTGCTGCTTCTCGCTCCTCCTCCTCATCCTCCTCTCCTCCTCTCCCTCCTCCTCTCTTCCTTCCTCTTCCTCTCTCCTCATCTCATCCTCCCCTCCTCCTCCTCCTCCTCCTCCTCCTCCTCCTCCTCCTCCTCCTCCTCCTCCCCTGGCGCGGGCCTTCGCGGAAGACTGCGAGGGAGGGAAGGGGGAGTTACGGGGGGGAGAGTGGAAGGATGGGGGAATAGATGGGGGGAGGGAGCAGAGGGCGGCGCCCCCCACTGTGGCGCCTCCCGGAGAAGCCCTTCTGGTCGATGTGCATGGCAACCTGGCCGTCTCAGGTCGTCATCGTCATCGTCACCGTCGTCACCACCGGCATCGTCTCTTCACCAGGGAGGGCCGCGGCAGTCGGCCATCCCAAGGCCGTTCTGCGGTTCCCACGGCAGAGAGGGGGTGGAGCAAGGGGAGAAGGAGCAGAGAGGAGGAGCGAGGAGGGAGCAGGAGAGAGGGGAGGACGAGAGAGGAGGGGGAGAAGAGAGACGGATGATAGGAGAGGGTGAGAGGAAGAGGAGGATCAGACACGAGGAGGGGGAGGAGGAGGACGAAGCGAGAGGAGGGGGGAAGGAGAGAGGAGTCATGGACATGCGAGGGGGGATTAGGAGATACAGAGGGAGAGCGAACGAAGGGCAAGGGAGGAGAAAGACAGAGGGACACAGAAAGAGAGACAGAGGGAGGAGGGAGAGGGGAGGAGGGTGAGGAAAATGAGGAAGAGGACTAAGAGGACGAGAGAAAGACGGCGGAACTGAGAATGAAAGGATATACCAATCCCACAAGCCCCTTACCGCACGAGTGGTTTAGAGGGTTCCTGCTCCAACCCCCTTCTTCCCCTTCGGGGAAGATTTGATCCGACCAGGGGGGGATCGCGGGTCGTTGGGGCGCCGAAGATGGCCCAAGATTGCTCCAAGAGGGCCTCGGAAAGACTAAGATGGCCTTCAAGATGCTTCACGACAGAGCAAGATGGCTCAAGAAGGCTTCCGAGATGTCCCAAGAAGTCCCTGGACTCCTCCAAGACGGGCCTACTCAATTGGGTTCGGGGCAACCCCAGGACGCTCCCAAGAGGCCCAAATCGGTTAAAACCTGAAGAACCGCAGTGGGCTTCGCCATCTCGCCCCTTCCGTGGAGTCCTGCCCTCTCGTCCAAAAAAAAGAGCCCCACGCTGCTCCTGCTCCCGGACGGGCTTTGTTGCCCGGCGGAGGGGGGCGAGGAGGGGAGAAGCAGCCAGACGACGACGAGCGTGCGGGCGGGAGGCCAGGGCCGGCTGGGCGGCCGGGCAGGCAGGCAGGGAGGCTGGGCGGCAAGAGCAGGCAGGGAGCAGGAGGAGAGGGAGGGAGGCCAAGGGGAGGGAGGAGGAGGGGGAAGGCAGCGACGAGCTGACCAGGCGGGGAGCAGAAGGACAGGGAACAAGAGGGGGAGGAGGACGAAGCCGAGGGGAGGGGAAGCAACCGCAAGCAGACAGGCCGGGCCAGGGGCCGGGAGAGAAAAGGCATCCGCGATGAAGCTACCCTACAGCGGCGACCTGGGCGGGGTGGCCGACCGAGCCCAGCATGCTGCGGCTTGGTGGGGAGAGCCCTCCGCGGGACTGCCCACCTCCACGCCGAGGAAGGGCCGGCCAGCGCGCGTGGAGAGTCGGCGGCGCGACGTTGGCGGAAGTGCGCGGGGGGCGTCCGTCTCGCCCTGTCGCTTCCGATGGCATTCCGAGGCCTCAAGATGGTCCCATAAGGGCCCAAGTTGTCCCCAAGATGGCCCCAAGAGCGCCACAGGAGGGCCTCAAGAGGCGGCCCTGGGGGCTTCATAATGGCGACGCTAATTGAGCACACCCTTTCTTTCATCAGCAACAGCATTGAAAAGCACAAGAGTTTAAAGAAGTGTGGCTTTCCCGGGGCATCTGTGGGCGGCCTTTGCCCCAAGAGGGCTCCGAGAGGGTCCCAGATGCTTTGAGATGGCATCTAACTAAGATGGCGCAAGGTGGTCCAAGCTGGCTCAAGATGGCCTCCAAGATGGTTCCCAGAGGTCATGGCCCAAAGATGGCTCCAAGCGGCCGCGGGGACTCCCAGGGAGGCCCCCAAGGGGCCCAAATACGTCGAAAACCTGAAGCAGATCAATGAATGTGGCCGTTTCGCCCTTTTGCATCCGATGGGCTCCCAAAATGGCCCCAAGACGGCCCGAATAGCGCCCAATGCCAAGAGCACCCCCAAGAGCACTCCGAGAGGGGGCCCCAAGAGGCGACTTTGGAGGCTCTAGCGGGCGAGGCTGATTGAGGTTCCCTCCTCTTTGATCGATATCCTCCTAGATGTTCCCAAGAAGGCCTCCAAGGCCCCCAAGAGGCCCCAAGAGGGCTCCAAGAGGGCCCAAAGAAGCGCCCAAGCAGCCCGAAGAGGTCCCCAAGAGGACCCACAAGAGGCTCCCAAGCGACCCCCAAGAGGCCCAAAGAGGCCTCCCAGAGGCACCAAAGACGACCGAAGAGGCCCTGGGGACCGCAAAGAGGCCCACAAAGCCGCCCCAAGAGGCCTCCAAGAGGCCTCAGGCCCTTCTGCTTGCCCTCCTCCTCCTCCTCCTCCTCCTCCGCCTATTCCTCCTCCTTCCCTCCTCCATCCTCCCGCTCTTGGGGTTACGACGGCTTCCCCAGCCCTTCCTTCCACTGCATGCTCATCCACATCATTCATCGAGATAACTCGCCTGATTATCCTTTTTGGGTGGGCTGGTGGGGTTACGCGAAGCGTCTACAATTGACTCGTCTGTTATGCACGCCACCAGGGCGAACGATCGAAATAACCGAGTCGGGCCGATGTAGGCATCATGAACGTCGAGAGCATGAGGTACAAGTGAATGGGGTACAAGTGAATATATATATATAAGAGAGATAGAGAGAGAGAGAGAGAGAAAAAGAGAGAGAGAGAGAGAGAGCGAGAAAGAAAGAGAGAGAGAGAGAGATGACAAAACAGGGAGAGAGAGAGAGAGAGGGAGAGAGAGAGAGAGAGAGAAAATAAACAACAAATGAATGAGAATCGGGTCGGTCATGCCGCGCTCCGCGCGCCGTGCGGTGCGCCACGCACGCGGCCCCGGAGAAAGGCGCCACTCGGGCCCCAGGCCGCGACGCGAAGCGCCACGACCTTCCGAGCCCGCGCGGGCGGAGCCCGCCTCACCCGGGGGGAGAGCGGGCGGGGCTCGGAGGTGGGGGGCCCCTCGGGACTCCAAGGCGCGCGCACGCCTCAGAAGGTGCCACGGCTGCCCGCGAGTACGAGCTCCGCGCGAGCACGCGTCGCGCGCGCGCCGGAAGACCCATCGGTAGGAAGGCACCAACTATACACCAACACCGATCCTGGCCAGGATCACCCTGGGCCCAGGATCGGTGTATACGCCCTCCTGCCTTGCGCAAGAAGGCATATACACCGATCCTGGGCCCAGGATGATCCTGGGCCAGGATCGGTGTTGGTGTATAGTTGGTGCCCTCCGAATCGGTCGGAAGAAGTAGGTAGAAACATGAAGCAGGAAGGCGTTGGAAATAGATTGGGTGTCCGCCCGCCTCCTGAAGAGGAGGGGAGAGGGAGAACCACTCGATTCTTGAAGTAGGAAGGCGCTCAAAGTAGACTGGAATCTGGGAATCCAAAAATACCTACTTTCAACGACCGATGGGTACAGCCAGCCCGTACAATGAGGACGCGCGATGAGGATACAAAGGGTCCTGGAAGGCCACTTCGGCACTCTGCGAGCGGGGCGCGGCCAGCGCAAGCGGCCAAGGATGGGCCGAAGGGGAAGGATGCAGGGGTAACCTTGGAACGTCGCTGATCTTTACAACGCGGGTCGACCGTGCAGATACCACATGTTTCAACCCGCCGATATTAAAGTGCGTACCCCCTGCAACAGTGATGCGATTCCGCCTCTTCCCTCCGCGAAATCTGAGTCACGTCTGCAACCATTTGCACGATCCGACCGTCCATCCTCCACACGACAGTTCCCGAACACAGTGCCAGCACCCCGACGGCACCGGATCGCCTCCTCCTGGCTCTTTCGGCAGGGGATGTTCTTGAGCATCATTGTCCTTAGGTTCCCGCTCGGGTCTGCAACAGACGCGTGGCCCAACCGAGACCAAGACGGCAAAGAGGTGATGAACTGATCGTGGGGACAGCATCATCATCATCATCATCATCATCAGCATCATCATCATCATCATCATCATCATCCTCATCATCATCATCATCATCATCATCATCATCAGCATCATCCACATCGTGATACCACCACCACCACCATCATCATCATCACCATCACCAGCATCATCAAATACAATAACATCCTCATCAGCAGCATCGGCCTCATCACCGTCGTTTTTCGTATTATCAGCATCATCGTCGTCGTTGTCCTGGTCGTGGTCGTCGTCATCATCATCACCAGCATCGTCATCACCACTACCATCATTACCAACACCACAAGCGTCGTCAATGGCACCACCCGTCGCCATCATCATCATCATCATCATCATCATCACCACCATCATCATCCTCATCCTCATCGTTCTCAGCATCATCCTTATCCTCATCAGCATCATCATCAGCATCAACATAATCATCATCATCATCATGATCATCATCATCAGCATCATCATCATCATCATCATAATCATCATAATCATCATAATCATGTTCAGCATCATCAGCATTGTCATATTCATCCACGTCGTCATCGTCATCGGATCGGATCGGACCCTCGGATGCAACAGTTCTTGAAGTCTGCAATCACAAAATGCCTCTAGGATCGGGCTGCACCCGAACATAAACCGTGAAACACACACTGCCGGAATACATACCGCAGGTCTTAACGCCTGCATGTCCCCAAGCCTCGGATGACCGTGCACTGAGAAACGACAGAAACGACAAACAAATGAAAGTGCTCACTCGCAGCTGCAGATTTGACGAGCAGCAAGAAATCGAAACACACAACGCACTCTGTGTTTGCACCTGGGCAGGCCGAACTAGAAAGAAGGGCACGGAGCTCATGGTCCTGCGGGTCCTCAGCAGTCCTTAGGTGCTTCGAAAAGTCTGGGCATGAACGAGAGATTGTGCACGCAGGTCAATCCTTTCCTCTTAATGTAATCAGCCTCGTGACACAGTCGTATGAAGGTCGACTCGTCCTGCGCGTCGCCCATCGTGCCGAATATG